TTCCCTCATTATGTGACTTCTAGGTAGAGATGCACATCACCCCCTCACCCTGCCTCCATTCAGTGACTCTATCTCAGACTTTACTGCAAGTAATCTTTTTATGTACCTCTAACTGACCCGTGGACCTGTTCCTGAGATCATTCTTTCTCCAGGTAATGGAGCCCTTCATTGCTTCCCAAGATGGCCTGTCCTTCATGTTTCTAAGATTCTTATTAGCTGACATCATATCTCCTTTTCATTCTTGATTTGGGTTGTATTTGCCATTTGCTTTCTATCCCTACAACTTGATTTAAATTTGTACCCACACTGGATGAGAAAGATGAGACCCAGTGAATTTAGTCATGAATTTAGTATTTATGGAGTATTTGCAGAATAGGCCAGTTACTGTACTGTAAGATTGGAATACAGAGCTGGAAGGCCCAGCCTGGGGAAGAAAATCAAATAAGCAATTGCCATAAAGCATCATAAGTGCCTAGAAGCAGGAGACACATATAAGCTCCACCAGGTTTTAGATATCTTGCCTGTTTCATTCACTGCTGTTATCTCCAGGACCTAGAACACATTGTTCTGAGAATAGTTAAGCTTTTGTTGAATGAATCAGTGATCATCTGAGAATGACATGAGAATGTTACGCAGATCTACACTACCTATAGAAAAGATACAAGGTGAGACGTTTTGCAAATGTTGTTTGGAGAGTTTAAGGGAAAACTTTTTAAGTTCAACCAAAGTGACCCAGTTATAACCTCAGGAAGGCATGATTGGAATGTGTTTGTAGCCTGAATGCTTAAACTTACTTTTGTATTCTCAGAAGAAAGACTGGGTTTCTGGAAGGAGAGGGTTGGGATGGTGTCTATGGAAATTTGGGTACTGGGTCCAAGAGAGGAATTGGGTGATGCGTCCATAGCACTGCCTGGGGGCTTGAATGGAGGAACTGTGTGCAGTTCCCCACCAGTCCTCTGCACTAGGAAACAGCTGAGTGTATCTCTTTTGAGGCCTTTAGCTGGGAGAGTCTTCCCCATGCTCTGCTTCCAAGCTCTTATTACCCCTGATTAGAACATGGCTTCACATGAAGATTTGCTGCCCAGGAGAGAACATGAGTGGTTGAGAGCTCCGCATTCAGATTGCTTGCGTCAGATCCTGGTCTTGGGATACTGGCTAATCTCTCTGTTTCCCCATCTGTAGAATGAGGATAATAGTAGCACCTTCCTCTTTGCTGCCTGGCATCTGCTAAGTGCTCAATAAGTATTAGCTCTCATCAGTATTTACGAACTTAGTAACTGGCCTTCTGGGTAATACATCAGTCATCTTTGAACTTAGCCTGAATCAGTCCCTGAACCTGCTTGCTCCTGGTTACAGCATCAAAAGATGGAAGTCATGATAGCCTCTTCCCAAATGGCTGGTCCAGAGAATCTAGCTGCAGGCATCAGGGAAGACTTCCTAGAGAAGGTTGTGCTTGAGCTGAGTATGGTGGGAAAAAGGGAGTCCAGCACCGCAGTAAGGAGAGAAGATTTAGGCAGGGTGGTGACAGGTACAGTGGTATAGAGGTGAGCAAATGTGAGGTATTTGAACTGCAGGAGATTTACGGTAAAGGGTGGACAGGTATGAATAGAGGAGTAAAGGGAAATGAGATTGGAAAGAAAAGTGAGGCCAACTCTTAAAGAATTAACAATTACATTGGGCACTGACTGCATCAGGTGCAGTGTTAATCCCTTAGACTCACTGTGCTAGCCAGGTTTCGTGCTAAGTGCTCTATGTATATTACCTTGTTTAGTCCTCGTAACAACCTTATGATATAGGTACTTACTATTAGAGAAGTGACATGTCGAATGTCACCTGGTAGGTCTCTCTTGATTCAGCCTTACACGTTTCTGTGAGGCTTACCTTGATGTCTTACTCCTGTTTCCTAGTGAAGCCCAAGTCCACCAAGATCCTCTGACTTCATGAAACCATCTTGATTTAAAGTGGGAAAATATGTGTATCTTAAAATTGAATTAAACAGCATAGGTGCAGATAGGCATCAAGCTCAGAGAAATATTCATTGAAAAAAGCAAGACGCAGAACAATATATGTGCCTATTTGTATGAGAGAGAGAGAGCCAGCAGGAGGGTGGGGAAGAGAGAGAGATACACATATCCATCATATAGGTTTCTAAGTGCAGAAAAAAATTTCTGGAATAATAAAAAAGAAACAGTGACTGACTTTCGGATGAGGCCCCAGAAATCTAGGCTAGGCTGTTAGACCGACCTAGCTCTTCTTGCACACTCTTTTGTACAGTATGAGATATTTTTTTTTACTACATATATGTCTTATATTTCAATTAAAAAATCAATAAAAAGTAAAAATTTAAATATCTGCCATGTAGGGTTAGGGTTATAGCGGCCATTTAGAGAGAATGTAACATCGAGGTTAAGAGCAAAGACACTCCATATTAGTTGGGTTTGAGTCCTGCCTCTGCCATTTACCACTAACCTCTAAGTCTTACAACTTTTCTTTTGCTCA